ATTTTTCGATTAAAATTAAATATTATAGGACTTTACTCAAGGACTTCGTTAATCGATATAGTCTATACACGAAACTTTCGTTCGTATCGTTAGAAAAACAATGCAGAAGAAATTTGAGATCAATCTAAAGAAGTAAATTAAGAAATAATTAAAAACAAAATAATTATGCTAATATATCATTGGGGAACGTTCTTTAAAAATTCGTTATTGGAAAGCGTGCCATAAATTATACAGATAATTATACAGATAAGTGTAATAACTTGATTTCATTGTCATTTCCATATATTTCTAATAACCGTGATGTTATCTGGATAAATTCATCTTCATTTTTAACCAGTTTCTTGCCAAGTAGAAAGCAATTTATTCCTTTTTTTTGGTGTCGAACAGGCGTTTTCTTTATAATGCCACGTAAATAACCATTTGATATTTTTACTCGGGTTTCTAGTTGTATTTATTTTACGAACGTGCACAATAATTAAATTCACTAATTGGCTAATATAATTTATTAAAAAATGATTATAAAGTTTCTAAAATCATTACTTTTTAAAAAAATTATTTATTAATTAAACTGTTCTCTTTGTTGTATCTGTGGTTTTAGATTTGTAAAATTCTATTCCAATTTCCAACTAGTGTTATTGTGTAATTTATTTCTGTTAATTTATAAAACTACCCCTTTTTTTGTTTTATATAACATTATATAAAGCAAATACTTAAAAATACAAAATTTAGCATCCTTCGTTAGGGATTACAATACTTAAAATGCAAGAAACACCGAGTGACAAGCGTTTTGGAAAATTGCGACAGTACAAAATTCTTTAATTTATTGCAGATAAAAAGCATTAAGTGAGTTTTTCTTATCAACCTTGTTTAATTTCAGCATTATATTTGTGCCTGGTCCGATGTCAAACTCGCTTTACAAGTAATAGAAACAGTCGTAACCGTATACCGAACAGGTGGATAGGAAACTGGGTCACTCGACAGCTTCGAAATGCCACTAACAATATCCTTCGCCTACATATTCCTCGATTCACCTGTTCGCTAAAACTAAGTACAGAAAGTCGGATTAAAAAATTTTCTATTTTACTTTCTCTCTGTTTTAATCCTCTCGACGTAACGATTCTTCTAACGTCACGAGAAAACTTTAACGTTCTCCCGATAAAATCCATTAGACAATTAAAGTCACATATGTAAAACGAATAGCTTCACCTACGTATAAATGTCGTAAGCCCACAGCTCGGTAATTCCCGTAGGCGACGTGTCGACACGAAATTGTGTGATATCACACTAGACGGACGGCCAGTTTCGTCGGTGGTTACACTCGATTATACGAGAGTCTTTTAAGAGTTTTCGAGTTATGTAAGAAATTTCCAGTTGTGTGGGCCATTCCGAGCTCATTAACCGAAAAGTCTCCCTCCCTCGTTATACAATTACTTCTTTTAATTATAAATTTAATGATTTACAGTCACGAAATTATTCGTAAAGTTAACGCTCGGTTTATTTCGTAATGTCGTTATTTCTTAATAAGTGGATTGGTAAGCGAATGGCATAGGAGTGGTTTCGACTTCGAAGATGAGTCACGAGTAGCCGTGTGACGAAAAAAAAGAAATGAAAGATCGATGGCCGCGGGTTACTTAAACGAAAATTTCGTACGCAACTTCTAAAAATACATCTTAGAAATTCGGATTCCACACTTAAATAATTGCATTCGGTAGACATTTTGACACCGATCTCTTTATCTTGGTTATTACGTGTCACATTGTTTATCTCCATTCTCACTTTCTTTTCGTGTGTTATTTAATAAACAAAGATAAAACGTATTGTTTATGAAATACTATTGTGTTGTTCAATGGAAAAGTTTGCTGCTTTAAACCAAACTCGTTCTCGTTTACTTTGATTTTCCAATTTAATAATATAAATAAATAAATTTTAACATTGGGGTAAAATAATATTTTGGTGTAGAATTTTTCCTGTGTTTTAAAAATAAATTCTTCGGGAATTTAATATATTTAATACGTAGGAAATCAAAAATATTGCTTATTAATTTTGCCAATGAAATTTGATGCCAAACGGTTCCCGACTTTTATAAGCATACGTTCGAAATATGAAAATACAGAATTGTTTTTCGTCTGTTTAGTAAAAGAAAGTACCAGTCGACCCCCCTATAACACTGTTGATTATTGCGTTTTATATGAATTCCATGTTGTACGAGTCACTTAGATTTTACAAATACCTGAGCCGTCCACAGTCCGGAACACGTATTTGTAAAATCTAAGTGACTCGTACAACATGGAATTCATATAAAACGAAATAATGAACAGTGTTATAGGGGGGTCGACTTGTAGATATTAACGAAAATGGCGCGCGTTAGAAAAAAGAAAAAAAAAGGGAAATTTTGAATGCGGTAAAAGCAAAGTAAAAAAAATAGCCCTGCTGAAAAATGAATATTGCGCCAGTCACGAAAGTGAGCTCGTCGGCCTGTCCGCAGGTCAAACGTTCGAGTGAACTCGGAACAGGTGCAGAAAAGTTCCTCGGCTTCGGGGGTCAATCGCCTGTTTACGCCAAAGGTAAAACGAATGGGTCGTGAGAACAGCCTCTTCGATAATCGCTGCTAGAATAGTTACAAATGCAATTTATTATTAACTCGTTTATTTGTTAATCGTTAAAACCAATATATTTAATATTTATTCTCGTTTCTAAGGAGCCGAATCTCAAAGCCAACGTCAAACACGGTAAGAATTTTCATCGTACTGTTAGGTTAAATACTTATATATTTGACTAAATTCTACGTAATCGTTTTCATGCAGAGGAATGGACCACAAAAAAGAAGGTGGTGAATCATAAAACTAAACAGGTACGGAATTAATGGAACGACATTTTTTGGCTTTTTATAACTTTTCGTGATAGGCCTATCTGAAAACCAGATTATGTATTTTGACATTTCAGGTAGAAACTCGGGTTCAGCGACAGATAGTTCTCGAAGATGGCAAAGTTATCGCGGATAGCGGCCCTCAGATCTCTACCAGAACTAAGGAAGATAACAGAACGGAAGAAACCGAAGATACCGAAGTACGTGAATCTATAGGTCAAAATTAGTTCTAATGTCTACAAATTGATTTATTGGAAACATTTTTCAGCACAAAACCGTTCCGGAAGATCATCCCGAACCCGGTTACGTTCCCGTACCCGGTGCGGTTCAGGTGGTAAGCGAGAAAACCGAAACTCGTCAAGTAATGAAGGAAACTAAAGAAGAAAATATGCAATTGCACGACGAGAGAATCCACGAATTAACTGGTTCCGTACGTATAATTAATAATTTCTTAATATTTAACTAGGTTAAGTGAATCGGTACTTAAAATTCTCTCTTTCCGCAGGAGATGCACCACATGGCTCTCACTCTTCCCGAAGATATTCCATACATCGGAGGAGATCCTAAGCAATTTCCCGGAAAACTCACTCATTATTCGAGTCGCTCAAACAAGGTCACCGATAAAGACGAGATCAAGGAAGTATCCCAACTGAAAGATGGCGAACTGACGACGGAAACCACCAGAACCCACCATCACGAGGAGACTTGCGACGACGAAGTTCCGGAAGACGAAGTGGACGGGCTTCCTCTACCGGAAATGTCTGCCGAGACTACTAGAAAAATCGAATATTACGCGGACGACGAACTCGATAGCCTTTCGGAGAAAATGCGTCGCGAAACGGCAATCCGAGAATTGATGGAAAGGCACGATCCGCTGACCAAGAAAAATTTGGACGTGGAAGAAGAAGAAGAAATTCGAAATTGCGAAACTAACAGATGGCTGGAAAATCATTTCGGCTCGGACGAAAGCGACGTGGTAGAAACGTCGAAAACAAAAGCGGGGGGAAACGTGATAAAAATTCAAATGTCCAGTACCAAGCGACCGAAAGAATCGGAACAAAGCAGGATGAGGGAGAGTAGAACTCACGAGTACAACGAATCGAGACAATCTACTCCGAGACGTCCGGCAACACCTCCGACGGTCTATTTTAGAAACACGTCGAAATCTCCAAATGGCGAAAAATCGCCGGTTAAAACCTACTACATGGGAGAAAACGCGAATAACAGATGGACACATCTCAAAAAGTCCACCTGGAAATCGACGCCGTCCCTAACGGATAATCTGTCGGCCCGAACGGAAGAGCAAAAAGTACGAAAACATGATTCCTTTCGCCACGATCAGAAACAACACACCACGGTGCAACGATCTCACTCGCAAAGAGATCCGGTCAGAAGATACGACGTCACCCCCAAAAGAAGCTATCTGTTGGGTGACGATCCCGCTACCTTGCCACGTAATTACACAAACAGGGAATCTCATCATAGGTCGGAACGTCTGTCGAACAACAAGATAACACACGAGGATCGCGAAACCCAAACGTTGCCACGCCACTCTTCGAAAAAGAACCCCAGATCGATTTTAACCAACTCGCGCACACCTAAGACTTTTTATTTTGGTGACGAAACCGACACGTCTTACCACAACCAGTCTTTTCGAAGTGACGTTTCCAGTTTTCGTAGCCAGTCCACTCAAGATCTGAGCAAAACCGCCAGCGATCGTTTTCATTCCACCCACAGTCTGAAGCGCTCTCCTCACAATTATAGTCAGTCCATACACGATCTAAGCCACGGCCCCAATTATCAGAGATTCTTGGATAAGAGAAACGAGTTGAGAAGCACTCCTATTTATCACACGATAGAGAGAGATACGTCAAATCGACGCATGGACAAGAGGGATTTCAGAAATTACAGTTACTCTGACCACGAGCGAAGTATGGGTGACAGTTACAACGAAACCAACGGTCGAGTCTACAACGGTCATTCGGAAAGCAAGAGACACGATTTTATGAGAAGATTGTTGGATAATTGCGATCACGAATCGAGCCATTCTTGGAGCAGAAAGAGCGGCTCGTCCCCCAGAGTGTACGAACACAGATTTCGTTCTTCCAGCCCCATACCGAGGTTAATAAGATACAGCAATTCCACGTCGCCGTCTCCACCCGAATCGCCTACTCTGGCTCCCTCCTCTCCTTCGCTTCTCCGTCACCCACCGGATAGCAGAACGAGTACCTTGTCTTCGCGTAGGAGTGCCGCTGGAAGGACAAAATCCTACGGTCCCGTTATCAACCCACCAAACTTCTCCCCTCTGTCCAGCCCTCTAGAGATCAAAAACATGACGAAACACGGTGGATCTTCTAGCAGAAACGGACATACTCACACAATAGAAGTCAGAGATTGGGGTAACAGGTAGAGGGCCACAACAGTGCCCGTCAAACAGGTGCTATTTTGTAAAAAGCTGTAATTTTTGAATTTGGAATATCTGTGCCATAATATCGGCTGTTTCCTAAGACTTTTGGGTTTCGTTTTCTATATATTAGCTATAAAAAAAAAAGGAAGAATCGAGTAACGAACGATCGAAAAGTGTTCATAACATTTTAACTTTTGATTATTATTATTATTATTATTATTAATAGTTATAACAACAGTTTAATTATCGATTTATCCGAATTCGCGAACAACTGCAATTGTCTCGTTGTGCCATTTTTTAATAACACCCTTTTTTCTTCCACCCGATTAGCCAATAATATTTTTGTAAATGTTTTTATACGATAAATAAACGTTATTAAAACTTTATAAATACCTTTTTTTTAATATATATTCTCATTATAAACCGTCTCGAAGAATTTGATGACGGAAAATCGAGCGAATAACCGAGAGTAGGCTCCTTTTTTTCAAATAGGTCAAGTAACAACGACTGATTATAACACCTTTTGTGCGCGATTTACGCTCTGATAGTTCTTTTTAAAAGGGGTGGAACCGCACTGTGAGAACCGTCGTCATTTAAATACGTACGCTTTAAATAAATACTTAAAATCCAAGAGTAGTATTTAATATTAAATGAACAAACCTTTTTCCCCCCTCGAATCGTCGACTCCCATTATTAAAGCATTTGTACAGTATAGTAGACCCCCCTATAACACTGTAGATAATTCCGTTTTATATGAATTCCACGTTGTACGAGTCATTTAGATTTTACAAATACGTGAGCCGTTCACACCCCGGCACACGTATTTGTAAAATCTAAATGACTCGTGCAACGTGGAATTCATATAAAACGAAATTATCTACAGTTTTATAGGGGGGTCTACTGAAAAGTATCACCTCCCCCTCGGTTAAGTCAAAAAAGTTACGTGGCGCCATCTGTTAGTACTATCGTCAATTAAAATGTAAACGAATTTTTTTCCGAAAATCACACAAAACAAAAAAGGTTTTAAAAATTAAAATTACGAAAAAATAATATTTTTATTAGTCGTTAGATGGCGACATAATGAGAGGTTTCGACCCAAATAAAGGTCAGGGTCGCTCGCGCGCGCGCGCGCGTATATTGCCTATTATAATATTTGCCCTCTTCACTAGTTCGGTTATAAATAATATATTATCTCCTTTTTTCGTAGCATAAATAATTGATTAAATAACAATCGAAATTAATGCAATAGTTCTTTATTTATGTAGAATGAAGTGAAACTAATTTGAACTACGAAAATAATTACAATCATTAATTATACTTATTGTATAAAAAATTACGTAAACATTATTTATTTAAATTGTATAATTTTTTAATATTTTCAGAAGTCATTAATTATCTCCGACCGATCTTTTTTTTTTGTAATTATTTAAGTTATACTTAAGATACTATCGATTTATTAGTTTATTATTTATTAGCGTGGTTGCGGCCGAAGTTTTCAACGCGAAAACGTCAACGTCGGACGTTCAGCGCCACCTTCCTGTAGGCCTAGAAGTTTGACAATGACGTTTGAAACGTCAGTAGAATCACGCTCGACGTTCCAAACGTCATTGTCAAACTTCTAGGCTTACAAGATGGCGATTCTGAACGTCCGACGTTGACGTTTTCGCGTTAAAACTTCGGCCGCAACCTCGCTATTAATTGTTTAAAATATTTTTTTTTATAAATAAAGAAAATAATCTAAATTCGGACTCGATTCTCATAATAGAAAGTGAAGCCAAACCCATATTTTATCAATTAAACTGGATCAAATGCGTGTTACCAGTTGAATCGAACCGACAGAAAATTGTTACATGAATTTTTACACAATTGAAAGTAAATAAATAAAATCCTCTTTAGAAAAAAAAAAAATACATTTTTATGCCAAGTATAAATTGCCATTTCACTCTTATTTAAATGTACAGTACCACTATATTCATTGTTAGATATTTAAATATGTGATGCATAATACACGCAGGTAGGTAAGACGTTTTGTTTTGTTTTTTTCGTAGCTTAACGACGTATTTTAAAGTCGCACGAATAATTATTTACGACGTGAAATTTATTAAATTACACTTTGTACCAATGGCTACTCGTCATCGATCTTATATAATAAAGTCTAATAAATGTGGTATCATGTCTCGAGTTATTACGAAACGTTGCTCGACTCAAAATACTTTTTAATGAACTTTTCACGTGTGTAATAAAGTGGCCGTAAAGGTTTTTGGTAAACTTTTTCGCCTTATTTTCTTCGAAGGTGACCATCCTCCGGGTAAACAAATAAACGGGGTATTTATAGAATGACGTCGTCTTCGCCTCTCTGACGTCATTTTTTGATATTTATTTCGTGAACCTGTTTGCCGTTTTAGTAAAAAAAAAAATTTATAAAAGTACGTTTTCTACGCTTATTAAAATTAACGGAATTCGCCATTTTTTTTTTACATTCGCGTAATTTATCGCACAGTGTTCGAATTAGAGTGCAATCACCTTTAAACTAATCAAAATTAATTTGGATATTCATAAACATTAGGAAATAATTGATCTTTCCCTCGACCATTAACGCGTTTTGTGAGCGAGTAACCATGAAACCGGTATTTTTTTATTCTGTCGGTATACCAGCTTTTGTCCGAATATGGTTCCTGCTTCCTGTCTCCTCCCACGTGACCGGTTGAGGCCCACCATCGCATCAATACGGAGATCGGATCAAAAGACTCCCACGTACTGTACAACAACATTGGAGGGTTGCCGCCTACTTTGGCTTATTTGTTTATTTTTTGGTCACAAAATCGTCCAGAACGGAACCAAAACGTTAACATTTTTTTCCGTAATTCCCGTCTTTTCTTTTTTAATTAATGACGAGATTCGTTTCTTTTTTTAAGGTAACCGAAGAGAGCGGTTTTATCTTTTCTAAGAATTATTAAAAACGGGAATATCAACTAAATTTCACACGCGGAAGAGGGTCAAGAGCAATTAATAACCGTATAATTCGGTATAGGAAGTTGCGTATTTATTATTATGTAAATTATACCTCTAAACAATGACTCCGCATAAGTGACGACTATCAAGCTGTGACAATGTCGCCGCGTGTATCGAGGATAGAAGTTTTTCATTTTTATAAATAAATGTGGTGGGTTGTAAACTTTCTAAAACGATACCCGACTTGGTTTTACTGGTTTTTCGAAGGTAAAAAAATAAAATAAAATAAGATACGAACCCACTCGAAACTTAATTTTATAATCGGTTCATCGACTCAATTTGCCCTATAGTCATACACTCTATTGTAATTTAAATATTTTAAAATCAACTATCGGGTAGAAGATTTTTTTAAGTGTCCTCTGTAACAATTTCGTGTGTCCACTTAACCGCGGTTAAGGTGTCACGATGCCATTTCGCAATCTATTGTTTTATACGTAATTATAATCTGTATCGGTTATTTATAGGACCCATAAATGGAGGGAGAATGTTTATTGGAGAAACGTATACCGAATTCGTAACAATCGACTCGATATTTATTGTTACGTCGGCGCGAGACGTGACAAATTTTAAGATAATTATTTTAATTGTTCTAAAACACTACTGGAAAGACGGTAAAACGAATACTCGACAGATGGCGTTTAGTTATTAGAATGGCTAGCCACGTGATCAGCGAGCTGAATTATGCGTGTTGGAGTATTAAACATGTCACCTCCGATCTCCCATACCGTGGGTGGTTTAATAGTTATTAGACAGTGGACTTTTATATCTATTCACCCTTTTGCACTCCCCAGCATCGAAGGTAAGTCGCAACCGTTACCATTACATAAAGATTAATTAACTCGACGTAACGATTTCACATCGGTAACACGTCGTTCTGTACGGTTTTATAATATTGAAATATATATATTTATTAATCGGAAAATCGGTATATTTAACTTACTCGGCGATTTAGAAAAGTATTCGTATTATTCCAATTTAAAAATCGTCTCTTTAGAACCATTTAATTTTAGTTTCCACAAGAATTGTTTACAAATTAATAGGCTGCCATGCATTAAACTATGGAATTTAACTCATTACGAAATTAATTTTTTGCATTATTTTCTATACATTTTGTAATGCTTGGCGTATAAAAAATCCTATCGATCTGGATTAGTTTTGAACTGGTGATTTTGTATTGTACACGTCAAAGGGCAGCTGCCACAACATCTGTCGTCGGCAAGAATTCAATTGAAACTTTTTCGCAATGGATAAATAATTAAATACAAGAATATTATGGTGCCTCGTGTCTACTTTTTGACTTAAACTCTTCTTTTTATGACTGTAATTTCTTTTTTTTATATATATATAGATAAACGGATATAGATGTTTTAGGTTCTAGTTGACTGAATCTTTCAAATTCGGATAAACTGGTTTTGTAGTATGACAGATCTTTATCCTGGTACGTAACTGGGAACCGAATACCAGATCGGAGACGGTTCGAGTTTATCTAGGGAATATCTGAATATCGTAATTCTGTCAGTGCCTCTAAACTAACCGGGGTAATCGGAGAGAGTGTCTGATCTATTCTGCTCCGTATCTGGGACATCCTGCTGATTCAATAGGATACATCATGCGTAACTCTCGGTGCGTCATACAATCTAACAAACAGGTCGTTTATCCGTCTGTGCTCTTCCTTGCAGGTTTGGTCCCTGACGGTGACGATGGATCTGCCGTGTGATCAGGTAAGTTCTGTTCTCCGTGTAATTATACTAACTTTGCACGCCATTTTCTGCTTGTTACGCGCTTTCTAAACGGGAGAGTCTATCCCGAACCGTAGCCATGTGTAAACTCGATGACGATATTTACATTTTTCAGTGTTATTTGATTTGCCCAGTCATTTTGGGTGTCGTAGCGAATTTTGGGTTGGAGTAATACTTACTTAAAGTCGTAAAATTTGCATTTTTATTAATGGATCCGTGCGAAAGTGTGTATTACAGCTTAGTATTATTAGGGCACGATCCTAAATTATATATAGGATTTAGTATAGTATATTTAGTAGAGCGAGAGAGATTCTTTTTAATCAATGCCGTGTTTAGCGTAAACTTGTTCCCAATCTTTGACGGTACAGTAGTTTATTAATTTTAATATAATCGATAACGGAGGAAATACAATTTTAAATAAACTACTGTATATTCAATTATCGTAAGCAAATTTAATGCTGAAAGAATCGATACAAACGTTTACCACTCGAATTTCGTGTTTTGTGACAAATTATTTCTACATTTCGTTCATTCCGTTAAAGTTTTGAAATATTTGTAAAGTAATATAAACAGTGTTAAAATTAATTTTTGTCCGTCACGTGACTTAAATTGAAGTGTCATGTCAAGTTTGAATTTTAAACCGGATCCTAAAAGTTCGAAATTCTGCAAGACGTAAACAGGATTTCGTCTATTCTTATTAATTTTTTTTTTTAACGGAATAAAAACTTTCCATTATTTTTTCAGACATAATAATTTAATATTTTAAACGATAATAAAAAAAAAAAAATAAAACGTTGCTTAATAAACGTTTTATTACGTACTTTGTACTGTACTTTTAGTGAATAAGAACACGCAGACAAAACCCTTCGGTAATTTTAGAATTTGTATAATTTAGGGAGGTTTCCAAACGTAATTTCATTTCTCGTAGTACGTTATTGTGGTCACTTTATACAATAGATCTCATATGGGCCAAGGACGGGATATCCTTTGGTCACAACTCGGTTCTTCCGTCGTCAAATTGAGCTTACTCGAATCCTCTTAACGATCGATATAGACGAAATAAAAGAAATTACATCGTCCAACAGTCGTTTTTAATATTCCAAATGAATTTTTTTAGCTATTAAAATCGTCGTCTAAGACGAGACAAAACTTTTCTGCCCATAAAATCCTAGGAACATTGCCACATCTTCATTCTTATACGTTTTCCAGGTAGTTGAGTGCTTCGACTAAGTACTCTTAACGAGAGACCTTCCAAGGTCTACGTTTTGTCACTGGAACGAGTACAAAACTCGGTTAGATAAAAAAAAAATAGAAATAAAAAATAAAGCGACGTTAACGTATTCATTCGGTAGTTTTATTTTCTATGAATCCTTCGCTTAACATAAATACTTCACTCGTTCCTTGCGTGTTTAAAGAATATCCAGAGATGCGAACATTATTATATGCGTATATAAAAACGTTCTAAATATATATCTGCAATTAATTTCAAAATAATAATTTAATTATATTTCATATTAATTCTGTTGCATTATTCTGTACGTTATTTTAATTTAATCGCGACCCGAATAAGATTGCCTTCCGGCAAATATTTTATTTTTCTATTATAGTTCAACGATTTTTCTCCTATTCTACAACATTAAAAGATACCTTAATAATTCTTTAAACGTAAAAATCCTCGATAAAACGATCCCTTAAAATGTTTGTTTCGCGTTAAAATTCGCATTCTTCGTTACTTATTTTTATTTATTATTTTTAGTTTAAATTTGAATTCGAATTTAAAAATAAATTCTTGTATTTTTCTGTTAAATCGAATGATTTTACAAGAATTTTAAAGAATGATCTGGACATTTATTTTCGAAAATGTTTGCTTTTTTTTTATTGGGTGTAAACCTTTATCTTATCCAATGAGAGAGGTTGTCATTTTATGCTATCTTATTAAAGGGTTGATACGTAGAGGAGTAATTTCGTAATGCGAATGACTATTAGATTTATTTATATACCTTTAGAGAGATACGTCTACTCTTAAAGTATAGAAGATGCTAAAATCTACGTAGTCGACATTAAGTATAAGAAGGAATTTACGAGCGCGTATCCAATTTTTTTTAAAAATTTTTATATTATTTTTGTTGACGCGAATGGTCGATTGTTCCTCGTTAGGCAAATCCGTTGCTGGATCACACAGCCCAGAAAGAAAAAAGCGAATTGGCTCATCGAGGAAAATTAGGTAAAAGAAGAAGACCCTCCAGAGTGTGTCTGAAGGCGAATTTAATAGCTTCTTCTCAGGTAGAAGATGGTAAGTCGACTTCGGTGAATAAAAAAGCGCGACTTTTTTTCCGACTCGTGAACGAGTTTAAACGTTAAAATGACTTTTGTTCGTTCAGACGAAACACGATCGAAAATTGGGAAAAAGTTGAAAAACGAAGAGAATAAATGCGATGAGGTAAGTCGAATTTCGTTGTAGATGTTCCGCCGCAATCGGTCGTTTTTAACTCTATGTTTTTATTAGAAAAACGACGAAGATTGCCGAAGAAACGGAGACGTGGACGAAAGTAAGTCGATTTTTATACTTTTATATATAAAAAAAAAAAAGATTTAACTGCGATTAAACGAATTAACGAATTAAAATTGCTTACAGCAGCCGCTATAATTAAGCAAGGACCGAAAGGAACCATAATAGAAATCTGCAGTGGAAGAGAGAGAGAAATTCCTATTCTTAATCGTAGCCGTAGTCCCGAGAACGATGATTTCTATTCCGGTCCCGTGATAAAAGGTGCCATTTTGAAAACACCAGAAAACGTAAATATAGAAAGTAAGACGTTTATTGCTGTGGTAAGTACACACATAAATCATAAGTTCGGCGGTTTACATCCGCACATTTCATTTCTTAGAACATTCCCTAAACGTAATGGAAAACGGTATTGGGTCGAGTTCCGACGACGAGGAGGATTTTCTAATCGAAGACGTGTCCAGTCGCCGTTGGAAATCGCTCCCGTCCCTGGATAAAGCCACGAAATGTGAGTGTAACGATCTGACGGTAAATCCTTAAATGATCCTTAAAAAATTCCTTAAAACAATCGATTCTAATGAAATTCGATGGCAGCCGAGGAAAAGGAAGACGCCCCGTGGGTTGGACAGGTCAAGTTGAGACACGTCGACGATCCCGAAAGTCCAAACAGAAGAGGCTGCAGCGTGCTGTTTTTCGGTCCTCTACCGAAACCGCCCCCGACGACGGTAGACGGAAGCGCCGGAAGTGGCACGCCTTCCGCTAACGACTGGCAACTTCCGCAGACGCAACAAAAAAGTTTGTATCGATTTCCTGTTTAAATATCTAAATTAACGCGAAAGTCGGCAAATAGAAATGGATTCAGTCCGTCGCTCGATGGCGGCCATTTGTAAATTGCGGAATATCCGTCGGAGCGCAATGGCTTAATCGTTATTTTTCGCCTTGTGCCTAATAAATTCCGTCTTCGTTTGCATATTTAAAAAATCGATCTAATTAGATGTCTATTAAATCCATTAAATTCCGATATTTTCGTTACAGGTGGGAATACATTCCGTCCGGTCAGAACTCGTCCCGCTTCGCTATGCGAACGCGTGCAAATCCAAACGTGGGACAGGCGCCATCTGACGGCTAACTCGAGAACTAACGGAGAAAGGAAGCGGGACTCGAAATTTCGCAGAAGCGACCCGACCAGGAATAGCAAAATATGGCAGGACATCCCCCAAATTACTCACGCATCGATGAGCCACGACTCCCATCCGGAAGGTAAAAACTACACCCGGCGTGGGATTTTTTTTTCATTTCTTTTTTGTCCACATTCGCTCTCACCCGCGATAACCGGAAAATCCTAAATTATATTCTTTCGTTCTATTAATTTAGTCAAAGAGGTGGTTAAAGGATGGAAAACAACAGAGACGTTGGAAAACGGCGTACATCGCTCCAAGAGTTTAAATGGAATCGATAAAGACGATCGTCAACCGGAATGGATCGAACTAAGCAAAAAAGTAACGAGTAAAAACATCGATTGGGATAACTTGCCCACTGCCAGTAAGTAGCATCTTTGGTCATTCGAAGATGGTTTTCTATACAGTCGACCCCCCTCCCCTATAACACTTGATAATTCCGTTTTATATGAATTCCATGTTGTACGAGTCACTTAGGTTTTACAAATACGTGTGCCGGGATGTGAACGGCTCACGTATTTGTAAAATCTAAGCGACTCGTACAACGTGGAATTCATATAAAACAGAATTATCAACAGTGTTATAGGGGGGTTGACTTGTATTTATAATTTGTTACATTATCCGATTTTCGGAATTTAAACAATTTTCCGATTAAACGATAAGCGGGGAATACTAAAACGTGTGTTATCTCCAACACTGGAAATATAAAAGGATTTTGTGTATCTTTCTCGTATTTGAGAAGAGTTTTTATCTTAGAAATATTGGCTTTTTTAACGTTATAAAGTCTTTCGCAACCTTCGCTATCAGTCAATAAAACCAAAGAATTTTAATTGTGCCACCGTTTTTCTTTTCGTAAACAGGAAATGTGTAAATACTTTATAAAATCTTCCACGAAATTTAATTATTATTAAAAATGAATCTCTTTTCTGTCGTTCTTTTATCGATTTTTTTTTCGTTCGAAACGTGATTGATGGAGTCTGTAAATACTTGTTTAATTTACCACCGTAACCGATTTGTATTGTTGGCCGAAGTAAATAATGTTTTTCCCCCCGTTAATAATAAAATTATTGCGAAATTTTCGACCGAAATAGTGTAATTATATATTGTTTATAATTTGTTAATAACAGAAAAAGGCAGTCGAGGGAAAAGTTTCCAAAACGAATTAAGAGTGGTATGGAAAAAATTGGGTAATCAGCTGAACAGTGAACCTTCGAATGAAAAGAAGGCCGAAGAAAAAGAAGAAATCGTCCTGAAAGAAGACGATTTACCTGTTATAAGAAACTGTTTAACCAAGCAAGATTCTTCAAAACTTTCTTCTAAAATGTTTTCTCACCGGGAAAAATTAGGTGAGTTTCTCCGAGCCAGACCATTAACGGTGTCTTTTCTCTACTTAAAAGCACTTTCGTTCTAATTACAGATACAAATGCTAATTCTCGGTGCCAGAAAAAAGCGGCTCCGATCGACGATCACGTTCACGAAACTTCCAAAAACAATTCCATTTGGTCATCCAACTCGTTGGGAGGAAACGGAGACGTCTCTTGGATTAAAGAAGCCGAAAAAAGAAGACAGAAATACATGGATTGGCAACGTCCAGGTTAACCTTAAAGCGTAGTATATCGGAGAATAATAACGTCAAAACACCCTCGTTTAGCGTTACAGATTTATTACCTCGTTTATCACACTTATTCCGTCTCGTTACGCTAGTTCTATTTTTCAAAATTAATTATTAATAATATTTAAATCTTACGCACATTTGATTTATTTCTGGTTTATAACCTCAAAAAGATTTATATGTTATCAATTAAATTCTCTACGAATATAGTTTCGTTCGATAGATAATTCGGGCGAATCGCCCTTTAATTCCGTAATTCGGATCCGCTTGGTAATTCTCTAAGGTGTTTTCGGGGTCGTTCTTGTTGGAGAAACAATCTCCTCGATAACTTTTGCAGTTATCTCCCCGTAACGTCACACATTCCTCGATTTAGTTACAGTTGTCTCCCTGGAATTCCTGTCATTCCCACCGGCCGATTCGATATTTCTCAAAACGGAATCTTAGACGGAGTGTAATTAGGGCACGATTTAATTACATTGAAACCCGGGGATAATATCGTCTTGTATAGTTAGAGACGTGTCTTCATATTATTAATAGATACGGTAGCATTAAAGATATGACAAAGAGAAGCATCTTAAAAGAGATTAAATTTATTTTAATGCGTGTCTACCCGAGTGAGAAAACGAACGAGGTTATCGCTGACGATAGACCGAAAAGTTTTCAAATCCGCTAAAAGTTCGAGTTTTTCAGAAATTTTCTTCATTTCTTTTATCGAGTACGACCGAATACAAAAATGTGTCGCCGATTTCTATATGTTTTTCACCCGTATGGTCGTCCTTTGTTACGTTACGAAAGGTAATTAGAACGAATCGAGCAATAATTTCTCCATTTTACTCTCTTCTAAAAGATAACAATTCTTTTATCATTTTCAAGCTTGTATTGTAGGCAAATTTTTTTCAACTTCCGGATTTTCCGGTCGTCCCTACTTCGTTGTATTCGTGTTTAAATAAAACAAGGTTATTGACGCTCGAACGTTTGAGTTGCTAAGTACAAACTTTACCTTTCGTTATCGGAAGACAAATATTTTTATCGGTCTCAGGCATTTAGTTTCCAATTACGAACAGATTTCCTTTTATTTTAAAGTAAATAATTTCGTCTTTTAGGTTTTATCCATCAAAAATTCCGAAAAATATGACCCTAATTAAAAGGAATATCTTTATATTTTATCTCTGATTCTCCCGTAAATATAAACGAAGGTCGGACTCGCAGAATGAAGTCGATCATCGATCTTCTCTCGGACAGTTTCGGGTATTTTTTGATCCTTCGTCTATCTTTCTCATCAATTACTTCGAAAAAGCATTAATCTTTCGAGGGGTAAAAAAGAGATAACTCGATAGTGTCCAGTTACTCGGAAGAAAATGCATTCTTTAGTTCAGTTTAGTAGCTCCTTTCCGAGGTATTAAATACCTAAAGAACGAAATTTTATCGATTAAAAGTTGGTAGAATTGTAACTAAATTCCATTTAAAAGTTCATTTTGCCTTCCAGGAGAAAGAATTCTTGCACTTTAAATAATTTCAAGATAAATAAAATATATAATTTCAATCGTTATATTAAGAAAAAAATGTCTAACGATCAAACTTTGATTTTCGATATTTCAGCCGTAAAAGAAGAAGACGAGAAAGAGGAAGAGGAGCCAGAGGGAACAAAGAATGTCTTACAAGTGTGCGGTAAGTCTTCCTTGCCGTCATTCGACTAAAGATAAATTAAAGTTATCGTAAACACTGCGACATTTTGCCGGCCTTTTCAATTATTTCGTCGTTGTTGGCATCCTTTAATCCGTTTCGTGCAGTCTGGCGCCCGTCTTTGATCGATAATAATTCGTTACGAATTCCGCTACAAAATCTCTAGGAATTCACAAAAATTAACACGTTTTGTTCCGAAGAAGACAAATAATTTCTTACTCCATTGTTTTCAATGGGACGTTAGTCGAGGAATAGAATATTTAGTGTAAAAATGAGTTATATTTTACACAAAAAGTGTGTTTGTGTACATGTGAAAAATGTATATTAATTTTCTTTATAATAATTGTCGAAGACTTTAAAACAGGATATCGTTCCATAAAAGCATTTATTTTTATCAAAATAAAATATTTCAAGAATTTATACGGTGTTTTATTGTCGTCGATTCTACTGTATTTCTGAATTCTTTACATAATTCTCGAACAAATAGCTTTTTATCTTAACTTATATTTATTACTGGAAAACGTGCATAATTTTGTTATCTGCAAACTTTCCTATCATCCTCTTTAAACGAAATTCTTATGGTAGAGGTGATAAATTTGTAAATAAAATATAACTTTAATACAATTAAATAACTATTTTAAAGGATAAACAAATTCCCCCACCCCACCCAAATGTTGCTTGTTCGGAGGTAAATTTCCTCCATCCATTATAAAAATTGAGTTGTTGGAACTTGACCTACTTTTTGAAGGGGGGAAAACATTTTGATTTAATTTTTTCCTGTCTACAACAGATATTTCTATTAAAACTTTATCTGATTTTTTTAAAGGTTTGTGGATAAATTTTTGGAAATTTAAATTGTTACGAGTATCTTTGTATACATTATCTGGTTATCTGCGGACTTTTTCTAATTGTTAGAAAACATTCCGTAGACGTGTTTTTAAACTTTAACAAAATTAATACGTTTAAGAGTCACGAGTGACGTCGGCACTTGGTTTTAACGGTTTTAGATTTTATTTTCTAGTGTAATCATTTGAGGAATTTTTGCAGAGAACGTCGACAAAGCGCCGGTTCCATCACGTGAAGAAAATAAAGGTAACGACGAAGAAACTTCTCCCTTTGCCGTTAAACTTCGTCGAGTTCGTTGCGCAAAACCCGAAGAATGCTTTCATCGAGTGAAATGTCCACTTCCTTCGCTCGACCGGGCTGACGAACAACGTAAGTGGACAAAACTTCCTTCTCCAACAACGCATTCGTGTGTCATTTCGATTTTTTACCCCACGCTTTCAAAGGGCAATTTTCTTCTTCCATCCGATAAAGTGCGAATAAATATCAAAGTAATATTTTTAATGAGTTTAAAATAATCTCGGAATATAAATTGCCGTTTATCTGATAATAAAGGACGACTGTTCTTACAATTTGATCCGGGTGATTTTTATCCAGTAAAATGTTTACGCGATTTTATTTCAAGCGTGACCAAAAAACTAAGAAAACTTTCTTAAATCTTAATCGTTTCACCTACTCTAAAGAGTATCTATTCTTGAGTTAAGGCACATAAAATACAATACACTTTGTAATTTACGTTATTAAAACGAAAACTAATTTATTACTCGTTTTAAGTTGTGTTACGAGAGTCTTCTTTTAAAACTAATTATCATTTTCTACGTAACATTAACGATTATTCGACATTTTATTTAAATTAGGATCTTCGGTTTCTCGTCGTCATTCTTCGCTTTCTTCTCCCCGATCGAAGACGGGAAGTGACGAAAGTGAATCTGTGGTGCGAAACGGAGTCGACAACGAAAATGGAAGTCGGTAGTTTTCTTTACATCCTTCTTTACACTATTGAAAATTGTATTTACTTTTTCTATGCACTTTTCAGCTTCCTGCAAACAATCGAGCGGCGAATCGTTCTCCGTTCAGTTGTCCGATTTCGAAGGGGACAACTTCTACGTCGTCATCAACGAGCGGGACGACGATAGCTTTTTGCAAATCAAATCGGCCAACCAGAGCGGTTCTAATAACGATAACTCGACTTCTCGTAGTTTTAAGAGAGAAGATACAAAACTAGAAGAATGGACAGAAAAAGAGAAGGCTGTTGCCATTCGGAAATTAATCAAAGAAGTCGAGTCCGTCCGTAACGATAAACTAAAGAAAGAAGGAATGGCTAATGGCGACCACTTTAATTCCTATAACGAAGATTCGACCGTAATGAATTGTCGGAAGTCAATAATTAGCGCGAATTCGACAAATTCCGACGTTCGGACCGAAGTAAATAAGTCGGAAGTGTACGTAGATGCAAAGGAAAACGGAAAAGAAATGGATAGCAACTGCAGGGGGAACGACAGAAACGATTCCCTCGACGAGGAACAGAAAAATGAAGACAAAGAAAGTAAGGGAAATGGATTGGTAACAAAAACGAGAAACGGGATCCAAGAAACTTTCGAAAATTTAACAATCAACGGAATAAGCGCTATTCCCATTTATCCCAGAAAGACGAAACGTAGTCACAAAACGGAGACTCTAGAAGAGAAAGCATCTAGAATGACGAACGACATCTGCGGAGTCCTGAGCAGTTTAGGTAGACATAAAACAGAAGTGGAAAAACAATCGCTTCGACGAGACATCCTGAAGACCCTGACGTGCCCCAGCATTCGTCAAAATAAAGAGAAGCCTTCGAGAACTTTAACCTTGGTGACGTGCGACGGAGACGGTTTAGTGGCATCTTCGGTGCAAGGACGTCTGTCGGAACTCTCTTCTGTGGGAGTTCAAACGAATTGCGACGATATAGAACAGGAGGTGTCGGAAGAAAAGAAGAATCCGAAAAAAGTTCAGACGAGAATTAAGAAGAAAACGGTGAAAATTATAATACACGAATGCGAAGACGACGAAGAGAAGCAAGAAGTGGTAGAAGAAATCGTGGAACAGATCTTAGGTTAGTGAGCTTTTTTTATATTGTTTAAGTTACAGATTGGAAATAAATGTGGGTTTTTTTCTAGAGCCGAGACAGCAGAAGGGGAAAATGGTGAGAAAAGAACCGACGATCTGCAGAGCCGTAGAAGAGACCGAAGACGGACATAAATACTTGGCCACTACAGTAACGGACGGTTGCACTTTTTGTATCGACGATAGTTCGTAGCTACGTCACGTACGTAGGATGGCAGTTAGGCCTACGTTAATCGGGATATACACGAATTGTTAACGTTTAAAATATACCCAAGCTTTGTACATTTGTATTTATTGTTAAGCAGAATAACGACCGGTCGTGATGTTAGCTAGTCACATGTATATAAATCTATTATTTAATAATAACACGAACAAATATTTTTGGAACATAAGTTATTTATTTCAACAGAATCGACTGGAAAAAATAACACGAAAGCGAAAAATATATCTTTTCGTACGTTTCGGAGAATACTGAAATCGGTCAATAAATTACCCGAAAGTGGAATATTTCGAAGATCTTCGGATCTTTGGCAGTTTTATTTACAGATTTAAACCCGGGAATGTATTCATTTGACCAGGTTTTCAAGTCACTCTATTCAAAGATATGGCCAGAGTTTTTCCTTTGCTACTCAACACCACTTTGCTGGCCGTATTTGGTAATATACCCAGTTCGTGATTGGATAAATTTTGCGGTTCGCTTCTTCCGCTTAATCCTCGACAAATATATTTTTTGATGGCTTCTCTAAAATCCTTTAAATGATAAGCGTATAAAAATGGATTTACAGCAGAATTAGCGTGAGAAAGAATGATGAAACAGTCCATTAACCAAACGGGAACGTCGCAATGATTGCAAAAAGCTTTAATGCAATTCACCAAATATAACGGCACCCAACAAATAACAAAATATAGAACTATAACGAATAAGTTCTTGGCCTTTTTCACTTCTCGTTTGTGTATTCTGGCGGGATGAACGATGCTATCGTGGCTCTGATGCAACTGATTAGTATGCTGGATCTGATGAGAGGGTGAGTCCACGTTGTAGATGTTGACTTGCGAAGTAGCTTGACTAATATTACCCGATAATTGACCCAGATGAGAGATTTGACGAAGCTGAAAATGAAAACACGTTACGCATTAAAAAAATCTTAATCATTTCAAATAATACATCGCTTTTGAATATTTTATCTTTACGTTAATCTATTGTGTAGTACTAAGAATTGAAATCCGTAGAACCAAACTACAGATTAAACACGAGGAAATGCTACTACTCTCTCGACGGGGGGAGGGAAAGTCATTGTGAAAGAAAAACAAGGAGAGAATAGAACATTTGTAACAATTACGAGCGCTAAAGAAAGGTTAATACTCTCGAAAACGTAAGAAAGAATTTCACGCGTGTTAAAATGGCTTGAAAAGTTCGTAGAACCGATACAAAAGACTGGCGAAATTTAAAGAAAATGTTTACAATATGAACTGGGATCAAAAGCAGAAATTACGCTCTCCTGTTTCCTAGGAAGAGCAATGAATGCGGGAATTCATTCGCTTAATAATGACACGACGTTGTTTGCCAGCGATTACATTTAGAACAAGGCAGCCTCTACTGGCATCTTTCAGAAATATAATTGGCGTTTGAACTTTTAACATACATCGTACATTTATAAATTGTCGCATTATATAACCTATATTTGTATATTTGCTTCCTTCCTACAAAATTTAACTGTATTATTTCTCTTTTGTCACGTGTCATTTATTTCAATACTTGTTACAACTCCGACGTTTCTTTTTTTTTTCTATATCAATATAAACATATATAAACAAATGTAAAACAAAACAATTAGCAACTAGTTGCATAACTATTCCGACTGTTACGAGATTTTATTATGTATAGCGCTATCTGTTAGGAGATTTTGTTATAAAAACTTTCTATATTTTTCGTTAAGTTCGACCTCACTGGGGATACAACACGTGACCATCCTCTATCAACTCCTGGACCTTAAATCACCGATATTTAATAGCATTAATGTCCTTTCTATAAAAGCAACAACGCCAAATTTTATATCTTAATCTCCACCCCATCTCGATATATTAAACGAAATAGATGCCCCCCGCGTACAATTGTTTCCTCATTGTTTTAATTTTGTTTGTTCGGGAGGTCTCAAAACAGAGATTGAAAACAACAACTCTAAAATTTGACACTATTCCAATACTTTCTCTGGTTACAGTATATATACAGAAATACACGTTCGTTTCACTTTCCCAACTGTTATCAGTTTTTCTCCCCCCTTTATATTTGTTGGCGAATTATTACGTTTAAATAATAACACCAGTGGCCCACGCTGTTCTTTTACACGCCGGTGAGTTTACTCCTCGACCTACTTAAGATTCGATACGTGATCACGATCCTCGAGAAATAAACAGATACTTTAATCCCCATCCTTTCCAACTGCATTAATGATCAGCCGGGAAGACAATATCCTCCCGACTTTAGATGTCTGTTTGCATTAAAAACCCTACTTTCTAATACCGCATTTAGCTGAAAAATTCTACATAATTCATCTTAGAATGTCTTAAAATTTATAAAACGAAATATTTTTCGCATACTGGGGGGTGTTTTTTAACTCTTTCCGCCCCGTGGGCGCTAAGAGGGCGGTATCTTTTTAACAAGCCCATTATTGATTGGGCCAGGCCCACAACGGAGCTGCCGGGTGGTGAGGGACGGGGCCCGACATATTAGCATTTACAAGTTTTTATAAAACTCATCGATACCCCGAAAATTAACATAATAGTTAAAAAATATATAAGCTTTTTAAAATAAAATATCGTAACGGATGGCGCCGGGAAAGTTAAGCAACCGGTTGGCAGATTTTCGTTTTTTAACGTTTTTAGAATCTTAAAATATTTTAGCATCGGAAGATTCGAACGGATAAACCGAATTTGAAAGCAGTTTAATAGACCGGGAAGGCCGCGGGATCCGTAATTCGTTACGTCATAAATCTCCAATTTAGATTTTTCTAGTCGATCGAGGGGTCTTTTCCGCCGATCCGAGGGTAAGCGTCGACGTTATTCGTTTGACCCGCTTAAAGTGTCGAGCGTAATTTGGGTTTAGTTCCCGCAGAGAAGCGCGATCTAAATAACCGACGACGGGCCGAGATCATTTATCTGGGTGGAAGGGAAGGTGAGGATTGGGATTGCAAAACGGAAAGGACCAGAACCTTAATTCGGACAGGAGATTCCCGTCGACCCAGCTCTCCCTCCGATAAATCTCGGAGGTAATCCAATTGACTTCGATAAAGGGAATTTCCCGTCGCCATTCGACCGGTTCGTAAATAGCAACCGCGCATCTAGTTCTACATTTTTTCGCCCAATTTCATTTCGGGTCCAAATACGTTTCTCCAATTTTAAAGTCTCGTTCTAAATTCCAGATTTTCCAAAAGCGGTCGACCGATAAATGCATTTATTTAACTCGTGGTTCGTCCGGAAAAGGGGCGCCGCCCCGGTTAAGGTTAACCCCACCAACGCCGCTCCCTTCCCCACTCATTTCCGTCCTACTCGGACAGGTTTCCGGCCGGTACGTGACTCTTCTCTAAGCAGAGAGTTACGGTAGCCCCTTTTCCCACGTTTCCCACCGCCTCTGAGTGCCAGAATTCCGTCCTACTCCCTTTAAACTCGGCTCGCCGCCATCCCGGGGGAATTATTCCACCTTCGAATCTTCCTCCCGCGCTAAGTGGTAAAACTTTCGTAGAAAACGACCGCCGGACGCTTTTTTGGCCCTGGTTCTCCCATCCCCGGTCGGGATTATCCGAATTTCCGACGGAATGCCGGATTGATTTACCCATCCGGCCGGGTCGAAGTCGTTATTATAAAAAAACGGAAACGTCGGGCCGTCCGAATGTCTGTCCTCTCCCCGGCGAATTTATCGCAAATCCTCGTCGACTCACGCTTTTTGGGCTAGCTCGTCTCGACCCGTACGCACGTATAGGTCGTCTCGTATTCGGTTATTCGGTGTCGTTATTCTCTTCGGTAACAATCTAGGCGATAAAATGCCGATGGCGTAAGTCCCAAAACCCTCCGACGAATTTATACAAAATTTAAGACGTCCGTAGCATTCGTCGCGGACACTAAATACTTTAAATTTCATCCGAATCGGTTCGTCTGTGGTGGAGATATTAAGGACGAAAGTTGGCACTTTAACGTCATGCTGAGCTTTATTACAAAGAGCTACCATAAACGAATCTTACGCGCCGTTTATAGAATTTTCATAGCATACAAGTAATTTATACACTTACGACTGTCGTTAATTTTCGTTACATTTATTTGTACGCAACGCCTAATAAATTTTTGAGTGTAAATTCCATTGGAAAGTTTAGACGATGGTGACCGAAACTTTGCTCTATTTAAAAGTATTTCGAAAGAAGAAAATTCTATAAGCTACAGATATTTAAAAACAAATTGCTCATTACAGTTCTTTATACACGTAAAATAACAGATATAAATGCTAATATGTCACAGACCGATAAATGTAAGTTAATTAATAACAATAGTCTTTGTCGGAAGACGACCTTTCCAGTAAATTTCGTTAGAAAATATCACAAAAAAAGGCCGATAGGAAAACGTTTTGAAACGAGTAAAAACTTATTTTAAGATATTATTATTCTTAGAAACTATTTTTAAATAACCCCCCGGCATTAGTAAATACTTGTGAAATTAAAAAAATAATAATAATAACTTGGTAAATTACAGCCTAATATTAAATGTGTTGTTGTTAGAAAACCTTCAAATGTAGGAACCTTCTTACCACGACCCTGTACAGTTCGTAAGTAATATGGAAATTAAAATGAATAAACTTAGCAAAAAAAATGTAATTAATTAATAAACTTGCCGTTTAAAATTTATTCTATTCTTTGTTATTAATATAATACAATTCATCTTTTATGGAATTAACAAGCCAGGGTAATTGTCATTCGTTAATCGCTTCGTTATACACAATGCGTATTATCGGCGGAATTAGCGAACTTTTTCGGTTCCGCTAGTTGTAATCGTTTAGTCACCGTAGGTATCGCTTCACTTCGTCGACGAACGAAAGCCGATACTGTATTTTATATAAAGTATATACAATAATGAAGTTTAGTAAAATCTATCGACAAAATGCAGAAATGCCCAGTGTCGTATCTGTCAAACTTACGTTTAAAGTCTTAAATATAATTTACAATACTTAAAATCTTTGACGTACGTAAATCTTTGAGTCCAGTATAAACCGTCGACGTTAAAGCTTAAGTTTAAAAGTTTTTGTCCCTCGTACGAATCCTGCTCGATATTAGTAAAGAAACGGAGAAAGTGTTGAAATTTATAGGAGCAACAACCGACGACGACCACAAATTTTTTCTTCGAATTTGAATGGGAACGATCAAGTTTGACTAACCGAGTTTCCTCAGTCTACCAACGATTACGTCTAAGAAAAATTACTTTTAGACTATTTTTCTGACGGAAATGTTCCACTCCTAATCTAATGAAGACTTTTAAGACGGTATAATGAGCATTCTTATCATTTAAAAAGTAAAAACAATGGTAAGAAAATAGAAACCTTGCTGACATTACTACGGAGCGCGTGGCCAGTAAATCACTCGAAAGTCACTTTACGGTGATTTTTCGCTTATATTTTCTTTCTTTCTAACGCATTACGTGCGTACAAACGTAAGTTTAGACCGGAAACGAGACATTTCTGGTGGAGTGGAGAACGTGGAAGAAAAAGTCGCCGGAAAATACGTGGAACGATTCTTCCTACTTCGAACGGCCGCTTCCTCAATTTGTATTAACGAAAAAGAGAGTTTTAGAGAGAAAATACCTTACGCATCGATATCAAATCTTTAATTCCATCGAATTTCTTTTTAATTTTATAAACTTACGTTAATTGAATTACTAAACACGGGCAAAAAACGTTCCGAATCAATAGTAGTAAGTATCGAGATTATACGACGAGTTACGGTCACGCGTAACAAAGACGCGTTACGCGGGATACCGGATGCAGATCGATACCGTTTCTCGACCGGTAAATTTCTCTAATAATCGATTTTTGTCCGTTTGTAATTAAACGGGCCGAAGTAAAGAGAACGGCCCCTCGGTGGGGGGTCTAATAGCGCGAAGGAGACGGACGAAGGACGAGGGCGACGACACTTAGTTGCAACAGGTGGAGAATCTCACGTGGCACCAATCGATGATGAGTCCCGCAGACGTTTCGAGGACGGGAAAGCCGCGGTGTCCCCGGAAGAGGACCCGCCGTTCGATATTATAAACAAAACGCCTCGTTCTGCTTAAGAAGTTTCAAGATAATTGCAAATAAAGATAAGAGATTCCGCGTGGTTCCCGGGATTTGGCACCTTTATCTTAATGCGCTCGAGCTAAAACATGTAGAAATTCTCACGTAAAAATCAGACGACAATTCGAAACTATTTCCGTCGGAAGATATCTAATTTATGTATTTATGACGTAAGATTAGTCGTGTCGTTTACGTTGGTAGAATAGAAGCGTTTTTCGGTCGGACTACACCCGGGGGAAGTTCTCTGTTCTTAAGCCAAACTTCGATCCTATTTTTAAATCTACAACACTGTTTAATTTCTACAGTTTTGTTTGGAAAAAAAAGGACGAAGCGTATAATGTTACGAGGCGAAGGAACGAAAACGTTGAAAAAAATTTCCAACACTCCCACATAACGAGAGAAGTTTAACGTAACGTAAAAAAGAGAGATTGGTGCATAAATATCAAAATAAATATTTAAAAAATCCTTCGATTGGGTTACCTCGTCCATATTCGACATCTCGGAATTCGAAAAGTCAAGCTTTAATAATAAATATTAGAAAATTAGCAAATGGTAAGTTTAATGATTCGTAATTAGGTTAATTATAATCTGCGGATTTTATAAACAAGGATGACGAGAATTAGATACCTGCATTTGGATTATTATTAGAAAAGGCTAGATAAGAACATTGAGCTGAAAGACGAGCGTAATTGGGAACATATTGGCATCTCTTCACCCATGGAAAGCGACAGAGAGGAAATGGGTGGGTGCCTTCCTTTGAATTTCCTTCAATTTTACGACTTTCTGTATAGTACACACTGGCAGATTTATCTATCGACACCTTGCTAATTTGCTAATTATAAATTATATTACAAGTTATCGTCAGAAGAATACTCGGCAACAAATACATTTAAATATACGGAGTTTTCTAATAGGAACTTAGCCAAAAACTTTTACAAAATGATATCCTCTAGAATGAACGTTGGTTAAACAATATTGCAAAACGATTTCGAAATTTCTAATATTATTTCAGTGATTTTATAAATGCGCAATTAAAATGACTGTATATTTCTTAACCCAAAATCCATTTAAACAGTTAATTTAGTATGGCAAACTCCGACTAGCGAAACGAACCTTTTAGATGGGTTGGATCGATTAAAACAGCGAGTGTCATTCGGAAACAATTCGATATTAAAAAACTGGTTTTGAACTTCACTCGTAGTCGAACTATTTATGGTCAAGTGCTCCAAGTGTCACCTTGGTTATCGTTTATGTGACACGGATGAGCTTTATACGACTTTTTTCTATCCGTTATCTGTTTTATAAATAAATTTTCAAGTTGGCTATAAATTACTTTTAAAAATGAAAAATACTTTTGGAGAAAATCAATTATCGAATATTCTGTCGGCAAATAAGCAAACTTATCCCGAACTTCAATTAAAAAAGTATCGATAATCTTAGTCAATATAACTTTCTGAGGCTATTAATGGACGGAAGTGACTGTGACCTCTTTTTAGGAAGTAGTTCAATAGCTGATATTGTCAACAAACTAATTTATAGCGGTAGATTAGAATAAATCAACAGTTAATCCCATTAAAGAGAAAATTGCAAGGTCGTTATAAAAATGGCAATAAAAAGAATAACAAAAATTAAATATCGATTACGGTCGGTTAGGGTATTCTTTATTCCATTCGGAAACGGATCGGACGTGGGCGATTATTCTTACGAAACGACCGGATGTTCTCCGCACACAATAAACGAACTCACCTGTTTTTTAACCACGAAGTAGATGCTGCCGTAGAAAAACCCCATTAACAGCACCGGAAAGGCTATCGTCACGAAAAATATAAACACTAAAAAGTAGTAATCCATAGACGGAATGAAAAAACAACGTCCTTCCGGCGTTTCTGGACCATTATTCCAACCGAAAAGTGGCAGGAATCCAACAGCTGCACCTAATACGTAACACCCGACGATGGTGCCAATAACAGTCTTCTTGGTAACTAATCTGTGATAACAGAACGGATAAATAATCGCCCAATATCTGTCTAAAGATACGGCCAGTAAATTCAATATGGAAATGGTGCACAGCACTACCAACGACGACAGCATCAGCATGCAGACCCCGAATTCGTTTCGAGGGAGTCCCATTTTGGTCAGTATGGCTGAAGGGATGCCCACCAATCCCACTAACAAATCGGACACCGCTAGACTGACTATGTAGTAATTCGTTAGTTTCCGTAGTTTCCTCTGAGTGGAGAATACTAATATAACAAGAAAGTTACCGGTGACCGCTATGACTGCCACTGACAATTCCAGAGTGGTGTAAACGGGCGGCAACTTCTCCTGCATGTTCGTCTCCTCACATGTCTAGAATTCCGACTACGCTAACTTCCCGCTAAATCTCTGGTGGTATATCCGGCCAATAGCGCATGCTCTGTCGTGACGTCGACGGGAATTACACACGCGACGACGGCGACTCGCGGTCGTGGCCGATGACGTTCTCGTTAGCACGCGACGCGACGACACACTCCTTTCCCGGCAACGTTAAGGATCCTCGACAGTACCTAAATTAATGTTAAAAGTTTCCACGCTCTTTCCGTCTCGCGCGATAAACAAACCTTCGATCTATTAAAAAGTACTTTTATGCAAAAATTATCCATCTATTTTTCTATTTTGTTTATTGCTCGGAAGTATATTTAGTCGACGATCTATCGCTATAAGAAAACAAATATAAATATATTCTATTTAAACGGACATTGTTTTTTTAGAAGTGGGTCATGACGTAGTTTTGACATCTGTTTGACGTCACGCCGCCATTTACTTTTTAAGTCATTGACACGCGATTTAATGAATTAAGTATGGCTAATTCAAACACGGTCTACAAAGGTTTCCGAAGCGGTAAACTCTAAATAATTAAAAGATTCGAAAAGCATTTATTACGTTTATTTTTACCAGTTTTAAATTCTCGATATGTTCAGTAATTCGTTCATTATGTGTACGCCGAACACTTTATTGCCGTTTCCTTTCAAGGTAAGTTCTAAGCACTTGGCTGCATTTATCCATTCGATTAATATTTTTGCGTGCAGAACGTTTTTTTAAGATTCTGTTTACGAATCTACGTCAAAGTCCCATGGAAAAATCCTTTTCCGACGTCGTCCGATTATTTACGACCGTACATTTCTCTATGAATTATACGTTTCTACACATCGTTTCGGTAGACATTCTACGTGTTTTATGCGATATTTATTAAGGAAGTAACGTTTTAGAATTTTTATATCTACGTCACGTCAATTCATTTTAATTCTAATTTTTTAAAAATTTATTTCTATTGTTAAATGTAGAAAATACGGCGTCGTATTATCGGAATTTCTTTTTAATATTATATCGAATTCTGGTGAAATTTCGACGACTTTCCGGATATTCCGGAGAATAAGACGTTAAGAATCATTGGTGTATTTAAGACGAAATACAAATTGCCAGTGTGTAAAATCTCCGATTGCTTTCCGATTAAAAATTCTAAACGATAATGAATTTTCCAAGTCGTTTTTTTTTATCGATGACCCATTTAAACCACGTCCACGAGTTTTCCGACAGCGAGTTTATTTATGTTTTGAATAAAATTCCGTCTCGATTTTTATTACCCAAACTAAAATAAAATAATCTAAAACCTTTTAAGATTATCGATAACTGTTGTGTATAGAATATAGGTCAGTACTTACGTTACGGAAAGGGATGGAAAAATGTTTTACATTTCCAATGAATAACTAATAAATCTATAAATTAAATGATGAATAATGTAAAAGTCTGTAATTTTTAGTTGTTGGCCGGTTAGTTACGTCGGTGTCGAATATATATTGAATGACGCTATCGAATCACAGATGTTTGGGAGTGCGTGTGAACGAAAGCATTCTGTCCCTCGTATAATCTAACCTATCCAATAAATACTTTCGACAATATTAATCTCTCTACTACAAGTCATTATACAATTTTCATAAAATTCTTTCGCATTAATTCGTACAACTTTTTAATCCTTCTTTAATATTAAACTAATTACGTTTATTAATTAAGCTCGCGCGATAAACTGCAATTGTTTTTTTTTATTATTGAGCGTAGGATGACTCGGTTCTTAATTGCTTGGGTTTTATTGAATAAAAATCCTTTGAAATTTAGAAGTGTGTACTTAAGAAAGATTATTATGGAAAACGAAATAGAATATTTAAAAAAGTTCGTTTCCTAATACAAAACCCCACCCAAGTTTCGTGTATTTGAATGTTTTAAGATCTTTTTTAATTTCCAGATGTATTTAAATAAAATTTTAGTTTGTTTTTAAAACATTAAACGTTTCTCGATTCTTATAAAATGAATCGTTAAAAGTACATTCGCTCGATTGTTTTCTTTTACGCGCAATAAGATTATTTTATTTAGTTTTTAAAATAATTATTTGTCTAATTAATAAGACGACATTAAACCTCTTTCGTTTTTTATTATCTTTTATTTATAATTATATAATAACAAAATAAAAACAATTTACCGATACTTCTTTTTAAACCGACTTCGCACTATAAAACTATTTGATAAAATAAGTGGATCTAAAGGAGAGTATTTACGAGATTTGTTCAAAAACTACGCGGACTGTTTGAATTGCGCGGCTCCAGTTTGTACCAGGGGAATCAGCTCGGTGTCGCTAGGTTCGTACGGATCGTCTGGTGATAAAGCCGTTTCCCGATTACAGATATCTTTATTTGTCGATTAGCTACGCGGTTTTTAGTGAAGTGCGATTTTTTTCGTTTGTCGGATTTCAGAATGAATGACCCGATGGAGCAACGACTTGCCGTAAAATTTTGTGTTAAACTTGGAACATCTGCGACTGAAACATTTGCTATGCTCAACCAGTGGGTGGGTGAAACGCCCCCGGAACCCAAAAAAGCTCGCCAAGTTCGATCCAATGTCAAAGATCCAAGGTGATGCTGACAGTTTTCTTTGATACTGAGGATGTTGTTCACCACGAGTACCCCCCAAGGCTCCACAGTGAACCAGACTTGCTACGTTGAAGTTCTGAAACGTCTGAGGGACTCCATCCGTCGCAAAAGGTCAGAAATGTGGAGGAGTGGCGATTGGTTTCTCCATCGCGACAATGCTCCAGCACATTCGGCCCTCAGAACTCGTGAATTTTTGGCTAAACACTCGATCACTGTTCTTCCCCATCCCCTACTCACTTGACCTTTCTCCTTGTGACTTTTTCTTGTTCCCCAAACTTAAAAGACCCTTGAAAGGAAGAATATTTGAGACGATTCCCGAGATTAAGGCAAATGCGACGAAGGCGCCGAAAGACATTACAAAAGAAGCGTACTAGGACTGTTTCAACAAGTGGAAACACCGTTGGGATAAGTGTATGCGTTGGGAAGGAGAATACTTTGAAGGGAGGACCCAGACATATAATTTCTACTTAAAGTACAGTACATTTTGTTTTATGGCGTCAGTCCGCGTATTTTTTGAACAGACCTCGTATATAATAATAATAATTTATACAGAATTTTTCAATTGAAAAAATTCACGAATATTCTTATTTATATAATAAAGAGCTTCGTTAAATAATTAATAAATTAATTTTTACTTTTTATAAATTTCAACTGTTCCGATGTGGGTTAAACAAAAAGTCCATCTGTTTCTTCTTCCGAAAACTGTTCTTTGTTAATTGTACCGTAAGGATCTTGACATTCGATTACGTAAACGAAAATATCCTTAGAATAACATTTTTTCAAGATATTTTTACTCGAGGGCCTTTTCGAGAAAATATTAACGGGGCCCACAACACAAGCTTCCGCTCTGGAGAAGTAAACAAAAATTGATGTGGAAATAACGTCCCCTCGATAATATAAACTTTGGGGAAATATGACGATGGTCGACAATTCGGATCTGGAGGGAACCATCTTCCGACACAGGAAATGCTCATAAATTGTAAATAATATTTGTTTAGCTGGCTTCCATTTTGCCCATTGCTTTTTGTCGTTCTTCAGAGCCGATTTAATGTTTTTCGGGCATTGGGAATCGTTTATAATTAAAATATAAAAAAAAAGAAATATATAAAAGTATGAGAAAATTCTATACTCTGTCTCTCATTTGAGTATTGAACGATATTTTTTTTTTTTCATAAAAATGTCTTATCTCATAAATTAGTACAAAATATTTAAAAACATTATGTAGACTATTCATTATCGAATGATAAAAAAATATTTATATCTCGTTGAAAAATAATTTAAATATTTACATAGTGTTTTCTGCCGATTTTAATCGATTCTTTATACATTTTAATTTTGAAAAGGTTAGTTCGCACGCTACTTAAGAGAGTGTGGGATAGGCTTCTTAGTACATATTAACTTATATATGTTAATAACGTGCAGATTATAACGTATATATTATTAATAAAAAAAAATCCAGCAACTAGTTGCTTAACTTTCCCCGCATCATTTAAAAGTGAGTTTGTGGCGCCATCTGTTACGATATTCATTATTAAAAATTTTTTATATTTTTAATTAAGTTTTTTTGCCATTTTATAATAATCTCGAGAATAGAGACGGGCTTTATAAAAAAAAATTGTAAATGCTAATAAGGAATAAAATCGTCATTAAGTCCGACCCTACACGAGATATGACACACGACCCCCCTTTATCTTCTCGTCCCGTAGACATTTAACTACCAAATTTTAATAGCATAATTCAAAACGCTCCTTGTAAAATTTCAAATTATAAGCCTTCATCTAAACGCATAAAAAACACCGTATTTTACTCGTTACGTCCCGTAACGCGTATCGTACGAATTTGTCATTTATTAAAAAACTACTTAATTTAATTAAACATAAACTTACGAAAGAAAATCTTAATATAAATCAAATTTTACTGTTTGGATAAATCCTTTTCGCAACTATAATGTCACCGCGTTAATAAACACGTTTAAAAAATTCAACACAAGAAAAGACTTTTATTCTGCCGTCGATTTATCAACAAATGGAAACAAATAGAATTCAATTTAACTCGATCGCTGTAATGAAAATTCGCAAACCAATAGTAAAAAGTGCATTAAATTAATGACAATCGGTCGATACGCAATTTCCCTGTAGATTTTACTCGTTGTAGAATTACCAACAAATCGAACAAAAATTTACACCCCAAAATGAATTAAAAAATCGTTACTTTTAACTAATCTTTTAACCGATAAATTTCTTGGCTGAAATATCGAAACGTTTCGTAAATCGTACGAACGACGTTATGGCTTGTATTTGTAATAACTATCGATATAATACCCGAAACAATTCTTTTGTTTTTTTTTTTACCTGTTTCACTATAGTGCCATCTTATGACCGAATCGAGTACTAAACGCGCGTTATTTTTTTTCCCCTCCCC